TGAAGATTTGACTCCACCATCAGTGAGATCGTGTCGCGGGCTACCACATTCCCTTTTACGGTACCCACTTCCGACGTCCCGTTCACCCGCAATTCGCGTTTGAAGATTTGACTCCACCATCAGGAAGATCGTGTCGGGGGCTACCACATTCCCTTTGACGGTACCTCCTTCCGACGTCCCGTTCACCAGCAATTCGCGTTTGAAGATTTGACTCCACCATCAGGAAGATCGTGTCGGGGGCTACCACATTCCTTTGACGGTACCCCCTTCCGACGTCCCGTTCACCCGCAATTCGCGTTTGAAGATTTGACTCCACCATCAGGAAGATCGTGTCGCGGGGCTACCACATTCCCTTTGACGGTACCCCTTCCGACGTCCCGTTCACTCGCAATTCGCGTTTGAAGATTTGACTCCACCATCAGGAAGATCGTGTCGGGGGCTACCACATTTCCTTTGACGGTACCCCCTTCCGACGTCCCGTTCACTCGCAATTCACTTCTATTGGCGACACGAGAAAGAGAGACAGCGATTCGAGATTCACGCCTGACTACTTCTCGAAGACGCGCGCGCCGCCTCGCAAAAGGTCGTTAATTTCGCCCCTATGACAAAAAACAAAATTCCGCCACGCAGGAGTTGTGCGCGTTTACAACATCTTTCCGACGACACCAATTTCAAAAGAATCGGACCAAAACTGTAGTAGAAGATAGGAAAAAACTGAAAAACCTTCACGTTAGTATACTACGCTCGAGGATGACGCCCAGATGTCGCCAACCCCACATCATGTAGCCATGTCCCTAAGGTTGACAAATTTCACGGCCCTGTAGATACACGTACACCCGTTGCCTTTCTACAAGAGTTCTTCTACGCGCCCACATTTGCTGCCAGCCAGCCAGCCAGCCAGCCAGCCAGCCAGCCAGCCAAAGTGAGATTAAAAGCTACTTTTTACAAAAAAAATTTTTTGCAAAAATGCGCTAAAAATGATCAAAGTCCTCGTGTGAGATCGAAGGGACTTCAGCGCATTTTTGTGTGGCAGATCAGTGTTTTATTAGCCAATATTGACTCCACCATCAATAAGATCTTGCCGAAAGCTACCACGTTCACTTTGTCGGTACCATTTTCTCACTTACCGTGCACTCGCAATTCGCGTTTGAAGTTTTGACTCCACCATCAGTAAGATCTCGTCGGGGGTTACCACATTCCCTTTGTCGATACACAGTTCCGACGTCCCGTTCATTCGTAATTCCCATTTTGGTAGATTTCGCTAAAATCCCGGCATAAAATCGTATTCAACTTTTGGGTACTTCACATAGCTCGACCTTCTATTAGTGACACGAGAAAGAGAGACCGCGATTCGCGCTGTAAGAAACTTTTGGGCGCCCAAAGTCGACTACCCCTCGAAGCGCGCCGCGCAAAAGGTGGTTTATTTCGCCCCTAGGAAACAAAAACAAAATTCCGCCACGCAGGAGTTGTGCGCGTTGACAAGATCTTCCCGACGACACCAATTTGAAAACAATCGGAGAAAAACTGTAGAAGAAGATAGATAAAAACTGAAAAATCTCCAGGTTAGTATAATACGCTCGGGGATGGCGTCCAGATGTCGTCGACTCCAAATCTTGTAGCCCCATCCCTAACGTTCTTAATTACACGGCCCCGATAGTTACATGTACACTCCTTGTCTTTTTACAAGCGTTTTTCTACGGGCGCGCATTTACTGCCAGCCAGCCAGCCAGCCAGCCAGCCAAAGTGAGATTAAAAGCTACTTTTTACAAAAAAAATTTTTGCAAAAATGCGCTAAAAATTCACTACATAACTTGTAGCATGGTCTGAAGATGACAATGATAATCGTCGAAATCGATCGCCAATAGAAAACTTACTCACGACTTATTGCTGTTTTTTATCTACCATCTGCTACCATATTTATTACAAGTTGAGTAACAGGACCAAAAAAATAATTTGGATTCCTCGAAAACAATTTTGTGATACACATATTCTGTAATTAACTTCAGGCATAAGTTCGAACAGCACGTATACTTTATCAGTCTTGGAGGAAAGTTGATGTCGGTTTTCTTATACTTGATTATCGAAAATACGACGAAAAGCGACTCCTACACATTAAAATATCCTACAGAGTTATATTATAAAAGTTACAAAAACTTTGCTTTTTACAAGACTAAGAGATAATTCGATGTTAATGAATTAATAAAAGCCTGTTTAGTATAACAGCTATTATTAACTCGTTCTCTCTATTATTAAAGAATAACCTTTTAACTACCTTTACTAGCTAAACATTTTAAACAAATTAATATAAACGGTAAACAATTACTACTTATATCAAAAGGAAAAAATGCATTCCTCCTATATCCGTGTGTCTGAACTCTTCAAATTATTTTCGTATATAATGCATGACAAAGTATTCGTTTGTTATTAGTGTTGCCAATTTACATTGATAGGGCAACTGATAAAATAAATCCCGAGTTTCTGAGGCAAATGAAGTATTGTAAAAAAATAATTGTCTTCGTAACTTAGATAAATTTATCGTTGTAGCGATTTAAAATATTCATTGTTAAAATATTGCTAGATATAACGTATTTGTTGCACGCTATTATAATGAAAGCACATCTCGGCGACTTCTGCGTGACTACCTGATTACCCGGCACGGTATAATTTATGAAACAGCATCTTTACAACTAGAAAAATGAGGTAAATTATACTCCGATAAGAATGGAAGTATTGAAAATTTATTTTCTATGGTATGAAGGAAAACGCCAAGGTATAATGTGCTTAAGCAATTTATGGACGACGAATATTATTGGACTTGGTAGTAGATTAAGTTTCGTATTCATTTAAGTAATTAAAGTGGCTTTATTCAAAACACGTAAGGATAAATGGTGTTATGAAGTGTTTCATTATCGATTTGCTATTTAGGGATTGTTTTATAGCTTACTGAAGTGGAAATTATCTTAATATCACTCAATATCAGCAACTGTAATTTAATTAATGAATTTGAACCGTCACTGGTGGGTATTTACTTCTAGCGAAGTCCATTGTGGAAATGTAGCCATGACACTTTTAAATTGAAAGTGTACCAAGCAAAATTGCCTTGTGATTTACATTTTAATATACCGATCTGTGTACGCGCATCTTAATACATAATATATGAGCGTGTGGTTCGCTTGCATCGAATTTCCGAGGAATGTAGTTTCCGATATTACGGAAGTACGTTACGAAAGGCATCCAAACCAAATCGATACACGTACTACATAGTTAGCATTTTTGTGTTATGAGTCCGCGTATACCTACTTGCAAGATGTGTACGCATTGTTGTCACCAGCCAAGAAACTATGTTGAGGGGTTACGGGTTAATAATTAGGGAGGAAGGCCAACATAATCAATGAGGAATGTTGAAAGTACGATTTTAATTTTGTATTGGGACGTGCAAATAGATTTTATTGGTTTCTTTGGCAAGTGCAAACTTCCACTTTAACTTCTACTTTAACAATCAATCATACACTATTAAGTCCCGCTCAATATGGTTTCCGTAAAAGCTGCTCTACCACTCAAGCAGTTTCCAAAATCATATCTATTATAATTAACTCTTTTGAAAAGGGTGAACATGCATCTTTAATAAAATCTTTAATATTATGCGACTTGTCCAAAGCTTTTGACTGTGTTTCTTTCAATATTTTACTTCATAAATTAGAAATGTATGGTATTAAGAGGCCTTGCAAAAACTTTTTTCTCATCATACCTTCAGGACAGAAAGCAATGTGTTGTGGCTAATGGTACCTATTCCAAATTGCTAACCACACAACAAGGTGTACCGCAAGGTTCAATTTTAGGGCCCCTACTTTTCATCATTTATATAAATGACTTTTTTGAATATATTCAACCTAACGAATGCATTGCTTATGCTGACGACACATCTTTAATAGTCACTGATAAAGACCACAAGATACTAACCACCAAGAGCCATAATTCGTTGCAACTTGCTCATGATTGGTTTGCGCACCATAATTTAAAACTAAATAAAGAAAAAACTCAAGTAATTACGTTTTCTTCTAACCCCAAGTTTACATCAGGAAAATGCGCTAAAGATCTAGGAATTTATGTAGACGACCGTTTAAATTGGACCAATCACATTGATTACCTAGTTAGTAAATTAGCAAAGGCCACGTTTGTTCTAAGGAACTTAAAAAAATGTATTAACACCACCACCCTTCAGGCATGTTATTTTGCACTATTTCACTCTCATTTAATGTATGGTGTTAACCTATGGGGTAATTCCTCTAAAGCAAAAAAAGTGTTTTCAATGCAAAAGAAAGTCGTCAAGATGTTAGCCAATGAACATTATAGAGAACACGGTCAAAGTATTTTTTGTAAATTTCAAATCATGCCTCTTCCATCTATATTCATTTATTGTGCACTTCTAGAATTACACAAAAAGCAATCCTCGGTACTGACAAATGGCAGCACTCATAAATACAACACTAGAAAGGCTAACGATATGCGAACCCCTTACTTCAGGCTTTCCAAGTCTAAAAAGTATTACTATCAAGTGAAACTTTATAATATTCTCCCTAGTAATGTCAGGGACTCGACATTTTATTGTTTTAAAAATCGTGTAAGGAAACATATACTAAGTCATTGTTTTTATTGTGTAGATGAATATTTAAATACTCCATTTTCTCCTTAGCTCTAGTCATTATAGTATTGTATTCTACTTACAACTTTGATCTTTGACTGTGATATTTTATTACTGTACATTTGTTGGTTATTTACATATTCATTGTTATTATATTTATTTTTGTGTATTTATGTGATGTTAGATTTTAATAGTTTACGATATAGGTACATTTTATCTTGTTATTACTGTTACCACACATTGTAATTGACGAGTCCTATATCCAATAAGCGATCATTCGGACTAATAAATAAATTATTATCATTGTGTATACCGTTTTTCGCTTTCTCATCTGGCTATTCAGGTATAGTTAGTTTTCCAGATCCTTATTGGATTGTGTCGATCCTTCCAAGATCTACGCTAGCCGACAGCACCTTCACTCAAATGTCATCCTAACTTTAGCACACACGTTTTTCTGCAGATATGGAATCGGCAATAATTCAATAATTGTAATCAATTGTGCTCGATACAAAGTGGGTCAGTTTGAAATGTAAGTAGTGTCCTCGTGTGTGAGATCGAAGGGACATTTGTAACGAAGCACCCGGAATTTTTGAGCTGAGTTTGCCGTTTACGAGGACCACCGTGTATAGTAACAATTGGTTTGGGCTTTACGGTAATTTCGAGAATTTTCCGCGATACCGAGGAGATACCGTAGTTAATTAGTCCGTCTACGACCGTTCATGTTGGAATTATTTTTGTAACCACCGAAGGGTTTTGTCCTGGAGAAGATGAAGGACAATTAATATTTTTTGATTTCAGCGCAGTTAATTGTTTATAGGCCGTTTTAGTTCCCCATAATAAGTAAAAGCAAAGATAGAACAAGTTCCGAGGAGGGTTGTTTTGTTCGTTATCAGTTGGCGGCGTGCGGCGAGATTTTGGTGTCAAATTCTCGTGCTTAAATAACGAATCGATTGCCAGATGTTCTGGACTTTTATCGTAAGTTAATCTGTACCGTTTTACTTAGTTTTGTACCGTTGTGCCGCTTCAATAGCCAACCGTTATTAATTAAGGGAAATTACCGCCAGGGCCGTAAGCCATACTTTGTTTTAGGATTGCCGAAGTAACCGGCTGGAATTTCCGGAATTAACATCATAGATTGAGACTACCTGCGAGGCTACCGAAAACGACCAGACCCGAGATTTCGTCTGGTTCGTTCCCTGTATGCTTTCTACATCCTACATTCACCGCCGTTTTCTACCGCCGACTACCGCTTGATAAATTACCCTGTGTATTACAATATATTAAATAAATTAGCCTTGAATTTATCTACATGTGGCATATAGGTCAACTGTGCAAAGTTTGAACCGAATAGGTTCAAGCGTTTGACAGAGACAGAGGGGCGTGATCCTAAAGGGTCATTCGATTTGACACCCAAAATACATTTCCAACTGTATGGAACACAAACAGTTCTAATCATCTCACATCTCCATTGAGTGACGAAAGGATGATTATCTCTTTGAGAAACTTGCTAAGGCACGTTGCTGCCTTTAAATTAGGCAAATTTTAAGCTCAAATTTCGCATTAGTAGACACCCTTAACGGCATTTTTTGTATTAAAAATTTGTTTCCATACATTGTAGTAGCTTTTGATTGTAGTTATGTCCTGAATGCAACTCGATCTACAAGCCTTTTGCTATTTTGTGTTGTGAGTTAAGACAAAAACGTTAACTAATAGTATATCAACATTTTTATTGTACGTTTTATAATAACTATAAGTAAACAATACGAATTCATAACACTACAGAGTATTGGTCTTTATATTATAAGATCATCTGTATAAGTCATATATGCAATTAACAAGAATTAGAGAGTTTAAACAATTAAATTGTTTGATTCTTTACAAAGGAAATAAGTTACTTTACAATGTTTAACTGAAACAAAACGTAGCTATTGACAGACATTACAAGGAACTACAAGTTTTTTCATTGAGTTGTCATTTTAACACCTACCTTTACGTTTTGTATATGTACATTAGTAGTTAAGAGTATACATCGTTAATGATAAGTACATGAACAATACATTAGTAATTTAAAGATTAACTTACGACTGCATTTGGTCTCGAAAATAAAATAAAAATGATGGAATGTACAATGTTACTTATGCAAGTACTTGTTTATACATTCGCACTTACATAGTTTGATTATTTCAGAGAGAGAGAAGAGAGAGAGAAAGAGTTAAGCACAACCAGGTTTTTTGTGATATATCAAAATCTACACAAAGCTTCATATTTAGGCATTTTTCAAATAACAGCCAAATTTTACTTGTAGTCTGAAATCTTACCTACTATTTATTATTGACAAGGTTAATAATCAACACTCATTACCTACTGATTCGATGTGTACCAATTCTTTTAATTCACACATTTTATTTCATTATAATAAAGTATTATAAAGAAACAGAAAATTTGAACGATAAAGGCATGTACAACAATTTTTTTGGGCGCTATTCCATATTAGATACATTATGATAACATGCGGAGCCATAACCAAGATTTATTTGAGGCGTTGTAATGGAAATTGACTTGGACACAAAAAAACTGCTGGTTAGGTGTGATGTTTGTATACACTTTGCGTTTATGTTACTTAACTAAAGGGAAGACATTTTGGGTAGAAGTACATTCAGTTATAAATGGCGATTTATCTTAAAAAAAAATGTAGCTATGGCCCTGAATTACGAACTTGACATTTTAAGGCAGGTCATCGGTTTATGCAAGACCGTTACATTTTAAATGGAAGTACTGATTACAAAAAGAAACGTGACAAATAAAATAGGTACTTATAGAAATGTGACCCTTTGTTTATTACGTGCATACCAATCACCGAAGTTCACGCATTCGCCAACCCCTTTCCAGAGAGGAGCTTATGTTTCACCAGTCTGTTTACATTTACTAGTCCTAACGATTAATCCATCTTTTGACAGCTTCCTCCCATTCAAGCATCTCCTTCGACTTATTCTCACTTTGTACTTCTTCAGTTGCTTCTGTTGCATTACTAACATCACCTTCACTTTCTTTTGTATTTACAGATTGTTCACCATGCTGCTGAGGCTTAAAAATAAGCCAAACAGTTAAAAACTAACGTTCTCACTAAACAATATACTAAAAGTGAAAAATAAAAGCGTGCTTTTAAACCGTCAAAATGAGGATTTGTGCAAATGATCGCGCTAGGCTATAAAACTTCTATATAAGCCCTGCTAAAAATGGTGCTTGCTGTGTGCAATTGTGCATTGGAATTACAAGTACGGTGAACCCACCTGCGATCCGAAAAGGCCCGGGTTTTGTTCGATGTAATTTTGTTGCCCCGAAGAATGATTCGAATTTAATTGCCCCAAACTATTATGATTAAAATTTTGACCCATTACGTAACCCTGATTGTTTTGTGTTATTTCCGGAGGACTTGTCGGATGCCGCGCTCTTAATTCTGCCATAAAGCTTGCTTCTTGAGCGTAACGCCTTTGGAGTTCCTGTTGCCAGCCTCCTTCCGACTCCTCTTCCCCATCGTCTTCAAAATCTGGTTAGACATTTTTTGCGTTAGCTGATTACAATATGTCAATATTTAACACCACGAAGGCAGAACATGCGACAAACTTAAAAAAATGACGCAATGACACATGCTCAAACTTGCATACAGTTTCATTTGTATAGCACTGCAATCTTTACATCCGAACATAGTAGCTCACGTGCTTTATAAAATAGTACTGTAACTCTGAAATTTTGTTGAGGCCGCCAAATAACAGTTCAACCTGTTCATGATGTACAAATGAAACTGTCTACATATTCTCTGCTCTGTTCGAGAAGTAAGCATAAGTTGTGTTAGAAGTAGGTACAATATTTTCACGGTGGGGACACATATTCTACTTCGATAATTTGGGTAAGTAAGGTTAAGAACGTTAGCTGAAATGGCATCTATTTCTTTGACGGTAAGAGATCTCATTGTGGATTTATACAAGAGTGTATTGATAAGTTTTCAATCAAAGTAGTAGTGTATCATTCTGAAACAAAACATGAAACTTCAATGGGAAAAGAGACTCTTTTACAATTAAGTACCTATTATTTCAACCCCAGCTATAATTCGGGTAAGGGGGGAATTGTAACTATTTTGCATCAATACATGCTTGTAAAAATTTCTGAAGAACCATCATTTGGACGTTTACGTTTAAATGAAATGAAAACATATAAAGCGCACATTTCAGAAAATTAATTGGACAGCAGTTAGCGAGGTACTTACCGAGTGGTTTTCGGATACCACTAGCTTCAGAGAAAGATGAGGATTCTGCAAGAACAATCATTCAACAGGCAGCATTCCACATACAGACACTACAACTAATCTAACTTTTCTCTGATCTGTAGAATAGCGTAGTGTATGTAAATTGCATGGTGTTACCAGGCTATCCCATAAATTTTTGGCCATAATTCTATACATTTACATTGTTATACAGAATGGGTCTCTAACTTGGAATGGAGTCAGAAATCAATTGTTGTTTCAGAAATACGCTCGGATACGTTGATTAGTATATTAAACTGCGGTCTTTTTGGCGTAAATAATTTTTATACAGGGTATCCCAAATTTGAGATATGAAGTCATCAATTTTTTTAAATGGCAACCGTAATTTTTGATTGCGTATTCTTAAGGATATCAAGTTACACATGTGCGCCAAATTACAAATTTTTATTTATTGTTATTTTAAAAATCCGACGCCTGAAAGGGCATAAGGATTAGAGAAGAAGGTATTTACAAAATATTTAACAAAAGTGGAATGCCAAAAGTTATTGATTTATCATTTTTTGTCGAACTGTATCATTTTGACATCTTATCACAATGGTAAGTAAGTGATCAAAACAAGCATCGGATTATTATTATTATTATTATATTTAGATGATAATAGCATGAGGCAAGCCTATTTATGCTATTTCGACGCATTTCAGCGAGAAAGTATTAGTTGTTCCAATGTTTATTTATTTATTTGTTTAACCAGACACCATACAGAATAAAAATTCCAATTACATGGTACTGGGACTCTGAACAAACATTAGGACTTAAGATCTAATTTGATTTATTATTGCATTTAGGGGATCGTGAAAAAAGTCGATATCATTCACCGAGGACGAGGAGAACTTACTTAAAGTGATCAAGATCTTAATCGTCGGACAGCCAGCCATAACGAATAGCGTATTTTTTTCCAAAGATGCGCTAAAAATAGTGCATGACGTTCAGTGGCGGCGCGTAGTGGTGTGTCTTGGGAGTGCACAATTTAAAAATGAGGCCACGGGCAAAAAGCCCTACTTCGTAGTCCGGCGAATACTGGTTCACAATGAGAGTGTGCTCTTGCTATACTTTACAACTTGGACCTTCGCGGGGCGCACGGGGAAAGGCGACGTAGCGTTTGAACGAATCAGAGATCGTAGCTAACTGTGCACATACCCTGTCAATGGCGCTTTAAATGTTTTTTTCTACTCCCGTCTCTAAAATGCCACATTGCACTGACATATCATTTTAAATACGACTACTCATTAGATACAGATTGGTGCCCGTTCGGGTGTTTTCGGCCATTATTACAGGCCCGAAGTTTCAGGCTTGAATTTCTGCTCCTTCTGAAATAACGCAAGCGGCAACAGAATTCTCGTAGAAGAAGTATAGTATGTACCACGTTTCATAAACTTCTTTCGACACTCGTGTCGCAAGTGTCGTTTATAAAACTTGATACATAATATACTTTTTACAACACTGACATTTTAAACCGCTTATAAGATTCATTTGTAAAGTTATCTATAAAATTCATTGTTTCTTATAAAGTCAATTGTCAATAACAATGTCCTTTATACACTACTTTAAAGTAAGCTGCTTAATTTTTCGTACCTAATGTTGTTGATTCTATTGCCATGGTTACTATCTAAGTACCTACGCCAGCTTGGAGAAAACATTTTTTTATTATACTTCATTGAAATCAACTTATTTACACCTGTATTAGAAATAATGGTATCTAGTCTTTTCCAGGCTAGCGCACGGAAATACTTTTCCCGATCCCTTTGATTCTTTCCGTGCGCTGAATATAAATACCCAAAATATTGCTTTAAAATACAAATTTACAGGGAAGTAAACTAATTTTCAGAAAATCTATACCTATGCGTTGTAATGTTTAATATGTAAGTATTTTGCGTTTTAATTCGTAGATGTTTGAATATTTAGATAAAAGAATTTGTGACATTTTTTGACGTTTCGTCAACCTTATCTGAAATAAACTAATTAAACAAATCGCCTTTGAAATGATTTGAGAGTTACCATGAAAACGCATGTTCTATAACTGTTACAAAATAAAAAAGTTAGCGAGTTTGTTGTTTTTTGTTATCGATTTAAAAGAAGTATAATAAAAAATATCGTTCATTACACGTCCAGAAATGCTTTTTTGCACTCCTTCGTTCTAAATCGCGTTTTCTCAATAAATCACGAAAGTCTGGAACGTCAATTTTACAATTGACAATCTACTTTCGCGCACTAGTGCCTGAAAATTCAACGAAATTATCTATTTAGTGCGGATCATAAACTAATAAGTAGTAGGATGGAAGAGTAAAAAAGAAAATATAAATACACTTTACATCATTCCCTGTAGTACAGGGGCAAAAATAAGCTTCAACCAGAAGTTTTGAACAATAAATTGACATTTTAAATTTCTAGATTTCTACTTTATCGGCATAGAGGACTTGATTTTTTCAAAAGAATTATAATGTCGCAAAAATCTCGCGAAAAGGATTTGAATTTATATAAATTCGATTTAACTAATCCGTGCAAAAAATAGAATACATGTTACGTGCGTGAACAGTATTTGCTTGATTCGCGCGAGATGCGTCGCTCGTGCGCGTTGCCCACTCGCGCCGCCAAACTTCGCGCACATCTGCAAAATAACTGTTCCCGCACTAATAATGTAAATAACTATTTCCGTGCTTGCCTCACACGGGAATCTGCCACGCGCGTACGGAAAAAGCCTGTTTTCCGGACTCCTAATGAAATATACTATTCCCTCATAATAATAAAGGCTTCTTTCACGCTAGGCCTAGGCCAATCTGCCTTGAACTGTCTGTCATCTCTCTGTGATTCAGCATATTGACTAATTAGATCCACATTATTTTGACAATGAAAAACTTTCTTTTCAAATATTATGTCTTTCCGTGCTCTCCATAAAAAGAATCAATTATCTCCTCACGCACTCATTGTTAGTTAGTGTGCTTATTGTATTGATTCACGAACATTTCAATTCTTGGTATGGGCAGAGAGGGTGCACGTGTAGTACCTACTATCAGTATGCTAAAGAAAGCCACTTTTTATTGAAACAAAAATTCCAACTGTGGTAGAAATTTTTTCTACAAATATAAACGGGCGAGCTAAATTTATAGGAGAGCCTAGTATGTTTGTGTATTCATTGTAAAATTAAAATAAAAACATAAACAAAGAATAAATAAATTTACTAGAAATAAAAATAAATAACAACAGCACAACTAAAAATATGCAAAATAAAAGATTTGAGTATATAATTAAGTAACAATCACAACTCGAACTCACATTCGTCCTGTCATTTCTTATTAATAACAATACTAAAGTATTTCACACTAAGTGAAACGCAATGTAATAAAAACATTCGCATACTGATTTATAAAGTTGAAAATAAATACATAATAAAAAAATAAGTGTAAAATGTAAAAATTGTATAAAACATCACGCTAAGACACATTACACAGTCTCATGCTTTAGAGAAAATTTCATTCTCAGTCTAAAAAGAAGTCAATAAGCAAAGAGACAAAAGAACATGAACTGCCTTTGTACAACCAAAAACAACTGCAATTTTGCCTAGCTATCATAAATGTGCATTTAGTTCATAGTTTAATGTTTAACTATACAAATGTTAGAACCTTTAATCATTTTAATATTTATTGGTTTTTAATCTTCTACTTTTTTACAATATTGGCTAATACTATCGTGGCTTTCAGTCATTTAATTTTCCGTACCTGAATTTAATTCACGAACAAGCGTAGACATTGCATTCGTAACCGAATCGGCAGCGACTAAAAGATCGTTTCTTAGAGAGCGTCCGACTGATCCCGGTGTATCGTTCCCGTTATTTCCTCCTGAAGCATTAAATGATGAAGGTAAGAAATGGAGGTCATGTACTAACCAAATGCGTTTCGAACGTCACCACCCACGCCCATTAAAGCCTCGGTGTTGACATTATGTAGGCCTCTATCAACGTTTCGATCCATTGCCATGCTATTGACCCCACCCATTCCGCCAATTGATTGCGCTATGATACCAGACGGGTGTTGTATGTGGGAGTTTCTTTCGACTTGGCTTAACGCCACAGGCTGAATCGAAGGTGGCATTCCCAGAGGAGTTTGGGGAGCACTTCGTGGGCATGGTTGTTGGTTGGGAAGAGCACCTGGAGGTAGTGGGGGCGATTTTGTACTGCGGGGTGACGAGTTCGGCGTACTCCGCGGGGAAGATTGATGATTCTGCAAAATAATGCAAGTAGAATATGGACAATGATGAAAAGGTCAAAGTACTTTTAACATTTTCATAAGTCCTTCAAGTTGAATCATCAGCTGCCTGCGTGAATCTTGAAGAGTAGTTAAATGAGCCTCCAGTTCATCCTTTCTCATTCGCAAAGCACGCAGTTCGGACATAAGCGCTGGGTTCTCTGAACCATGGCCGCTAGATTCTATTTCTTGTTGGCGTCTGGAAATTCATCTTTAAAAAAAAAGCAATTGATTTCAAAATTTACCTCAATCTTGCAATTTCTCTCATTATTTCCCTGTTTTTGGCTTCGAGCTGATTGATGAGCTCACGTTGTGCTCTCGTCGAGTCCATACCAAGACAAGCTTCAGAAGGCACTCGACCCTACAATGAGCAGGTAATTATGATTTGACATACTTTCGTGTAAGTGATTAGTACAAAAGAGCTGAGCTAACGGTGCTAAGCTACTCACCGAATCAGGAGAGAGAGAACTCTTACGATAACCACCTCGATGCTAGAGAAGAAAGCAGAAGCAAAAGCACACATATAAATTTATGCTGTTAGATAACATTTATGGCAGCGCAAAGACAATGCACCAGTTAAACTATTAATCTTACCATTCCGGTTCTTGCTTCTTGAGCCAACTTTGCTGCATAACGTGCTATGAGTCGGTGCTCGTCATCTCTTGCACTGTCAAGACTAAAAAAAACAAACTTATATTAGGACAATTAAAGGCAAAGAGGATCTAATTTTAAGATGTAGCGTTATTAAGATCACCCTGTAAAGAGTGGTAGGAGCATGAAACCCATGTTTCTGTCAAATATAAATAGTATATTGTAACAAAAATTCCAGAAATATCGATAGACCTTGAGGCGCCATGAAAGATTAGTCATTGGCAATAAAGCACGAAGGCGGATTTGACGTAATCTTTCCTAGAAATATGATGTGTTTGATCGAGAACATTCTGAAGCGTCCTTGAGCATTCGAGAACATGCTAGAAAGAATGTAGTTTCCTACATAAAGCAAATCGAATTGTGTCCCTGCATCGAATCGTTCTTGTGATGTTATGAATTGTGAGTGATAAATTGTAAGTACTGTTATAAATGAATTCATTTTAAGACCGTTAAAAATTTATTGTTAGTTAATTACATAACTAAAACCACGTAATTAAATTTATGTTACAATACTAAGAAACAAGTGTATAATCAACCCTTTAAAGCACGCGCAACGACCAATTATTATACACGAGTTTCTTATAGTATTTTTTATTATACCTCCTATATAATTTAAAAAGGGCCATAAAATGAAATCATATTTGACGTTATACTAGAATAAATTTCTAATTAAGTGGGCTGATTATTAGTAATTCCTTGAATGCCATGGAAATGTCACTTGACGTTTGCTTATAAAAATCTTTGTAAATAAAATGATAATACACCGTCCATTCAGTGGCTTGTTGCCGGAGCAGAACAAAAGGCGATACCTGCAAAATCCAATTATTAAAGAATAGGAAAGTTTGTAGTTGTATGAAGGAAATGTCAAAGGTATTTAAATCTTGTATCCTTTGGTACATTCATTCAAAATTCATTAAAAAATTGCATAGATTTGGCAGCATACCTATTCTCAACCACGTGCGTTTGTGAAAGCTTCCAACAAAATAATTCCTTGTGAATTCTGAGAGAGAGTGGGTACAAGTAAAATCTTCCCTACTATTTTGTGTACATAAAACCCAAAAGGTTATTTATTAATGAACAACCTCACTTGTATTTTTCATAGATGTTCTTGTTAAATGCTCTTTTATAAGCTCAGGATTTTCATCAAATGCCTTTCAAAATACCTTTGTGAATGACGGTAGTACAGAAATTGGCCAGAAATCTACAGTAGGTATATGAAACATAGGAAAATTGACAGAATCATGAGTTTTCCTAAAAAACCATCTACTTTACCCACTCTGTACAAGTGAATATTGCAATAACGGGAAACTATTATTAACAATTACCTGCGTGCAGTTGTACGGCTATCTAAACTACCCATCCCATCAAAATTAAATGGACCATCTGGAAATCCATTATGTGATGGAATTGGTGAAGGTGGGCTGTGGATGAGAATTCAAACTTAAAATAACTTTTAAAAGTTAAAATTCGATATTGAAACCCGCGAGAGAAAAGTTTTTGCTTTTGTTTTTTTATGTCTTAGGTTTCTTTTAATTTACTTCTTCGAAAATCTGGAATTTGTTTACATTCTCTACAGAGGCAGTTCCGTTAGAGTTAACTTTTAAGTGAATTTTTTAGAAATAACTGCTCTAATCTTACATGCACTAGAAGAGGACTTTTCTCACATTTCCAAGGTAAAATTTTAACTGAAAAGGTATATTCACTTACACAATATGTGACAGATTCAATGTCTTCTCTGGCTGCTCAGGGAATCGAGGTAGATTATTTTTCTGTTTATCAGGAACGCAACGAAAAGATTTACGTAATGAGTGGCCAATTGTTTTACTGGGCGACTATAAATGATGTTAATTATGGTAATATACAAACATTTTCGGGTACGTACATAAGAGGCATATTCCTTCACCTGATGATCAAGAGTGTGAGGTGTAGTGACTCGACCTCTCCAGAAGCAATCTTGACATAACACGTAGTGCGGGCATTTTTGACATCTATACCGGAATCCGGTAAAATTTTCTCTTTGACAGGCATCACATTGTACCGGGTGAACAACTGCAAGATCGAAATATAGCAAAGCATACAAAAATAAATAAGGTAAATTACCATACCATTCTCGACTGAGGAAATACGGTGAAGAAGAGGGAGCCAAACTAAAACTGGAGGTCCAGGATCTGACATCATTGTATCCAAGAAATCATTAACAGTTATCTTAACATTCTAAAACGACAATTAGTAGAAATCAAAATGAAGAGACTTTTAAAAGTCATACAGGATTAAAAATGCTGGAAGAAAGAGTTTCACTATAATTAAATGTCGGCGATTCATACACAGCAGCGGGAAGCGCAAGAACTTCTTGAAGGTATTCCTTAAACCTCCATGGTAATAAGTGTCCATTGCTATCGGATATTTGCGAGAAAATGTCTGAAATCGTCTCACACTATTATCATTTCAAAGTAAATCGAGGGGCGATCTGCACAAAAAAGTATGCAATTCTAAAAAAGTCCTTAGAATTTCTAATTATTGCAACTGACTTTGTAGATGCACTGTTCCTATTGTGAAGGCAGAGATCTCAGTTTAGTCATAGAGGTCTTATTGATGCCTCATTTGATAGATAGGTGCCTCATTAATACAGTAAAATTATAGGAAATAACAAAACATATTACGTTGAATATGCACAGGGGATATGCTCTTGACCATCAAAGCAATGTGTCACCATTTCCTAGATCAAGTGCAGTGGTGGCCCCTTTCCTTTGGGGGATGTTGCACTCGCAGGTGCCGAGGTGACCGTGGGATGGCACGTCTCTGACAGTTCAGAGGCATGTCTCTAGGGTAACCAAGGTGATGGCTGTGTTATACGGGCGCCTGGATGACACGGCCACCAGAGGATAAATCTTGGCTTCAGGACGAGCCTATGGAGGACGTTCTTCCGCAGAGAGAAGCCTGGTAGGGCCCTCCTCGCGTTTGGTGTCAGTGAGGCATACTTGAGGGATCTTGTAGCTCTAAGACTTCAGCTGAAAGATAACAGAGGACGGAGCAAGCACTTAAAAATAAGGCATTATTCTCCTTTAATTCCGATTACCACAAATATAATACCAGATTAAAAAATAATTTTGCAATAACCGCCTCCAAAAGTAAAGTGTATGACACATCACATCTACAAATGGGTCTACGATTTTACAATGCTCTCCCTAGCAATATCAAATCTATATCGGCGTTCGTCCCATTTAAAAATAAAATTCGGAAAATACTTAACACAATGGCACCATATTCACTGGAAGACTTCTTCACAAATATCGCAATTTATTAACTGTAATTTTTATCGAAATTTTTATATACATTTAATATTGTTATGTTGTTGTTTGTTTGATCTATATTATAATAGTCTATTTACATTTTATCTTTATACATTTATATTAAGTTGTAATTGTTCCAATGTTATACCACAAAAGTGGTTCAATAAACGATCTCTCTCTCTCTTGGTGGCCTGCTCAGCCTATCTCCCATATGTATTTGTATTTGTATATTGCCAGTACATTCAGTACAGAGATGTATGTGCAATATTTGTCATAAATTATAACAGCAGAAATTACATAGAAAAGAATAACAACTAACAAGATTGACAAATTACCAATATAACATAATGTAAATGTAAATATAATGAAACAATATAAATAAAAATAAAATTATCTACAGATATACTAACATGCCAACATAACTACGGAAAGCGTTTTCTTTTTATTTCGATAACGAGATGTAGTCACTTAAGCAATAAAATGTGTATTGGAGTAAAAACTGATGATTCCGGAAGAGGCTCCAACTACCAAGGAGCAACGATAGAGTATTGTCAAAATAGTGGGCTCCTTCTTGTGGTTGGCTGTGTTGCAAATGCACACTATGTTGTGTGGGGCAGCACGACCACGAACTCGAGGGGCAACCACCTTTTGGAGTACTTGCAAACAACTGATTTGAATGTTTTAAATCAGGGAGCAGCCCCTACCCTTGTCATGGCGCGAAGGAGGGAAATTATCGACATTGGGCTCCTTTTCAATAACTTACATGATCAGAGTTGGAGAGAGAGGCATCGCTTTCAGACTACAGGCACATTCTCTTTCAAGTAAACCTGGCATCCCACTGCAAGCCCTGTAGGTTTCAGAATTCCTGATCCACTACCTGGGGCAGCTATGTGGCGAAACTGTCAGAGTGGTTAGATGATTACCATTGCTCTGTTGGAAAGCGTGGCAAGTGGAAGAGGGGTCACATTAGTAAGCTGTATACTGCGGACCTGTGGAGGAACGAAGAGAACACCTTTGTGGAACTTAGACCTTGAAAAGGTTGTAAGGAGGTTCGCAGGCTTTCCAATAGAGCCATGCCAGCTAAGCTGTTTGCGAAGATCTTAAGATCGCTCAGCATAGGTATACAGGGTGGTGACTTGCGTCACGCATCATAGGGATTTCAATGTAAAATTCATAACATGCGATTATTGGCTCCCCAAATTATTTTAGAGCAAAAATGTATTAAGGTTTTTTGTAGGAAAAAATTTTTTACGTCAATAAACCGTATTAGTTTTCAATTTTTTACATAATAAAGACGGAAAATTGGAAAAATAAAACCCGCATCTTTTTCAATAATCTGCGATGCCATGGAATTTTCTAAAACAAAAAGATGTCCAGTTATCAATTAGCAGCAGTTCGAAATGGATTTTATGATCGACTTGGTTATTGCCTTACAGTTAATGGTGACTTATTCGAACATTTATTGTAAATTGTTATGTTAGGAAACCATTTTTAGTAATTTGATCTTTCTTTATGTTGAATTCGCTGTTCTAAATACATATAATACTTTTTGAATTGATTTGCTTTATAGCAGACATTCCATGGCATGACGGATATTGTAGTTTTTGTATTATAAAATTCCATGGCATCACAGATTATTGAAAAAGATGCGGGGGTTATTTTCCCAATTTT